TACTATATACTCCTATCACTCCTTCAATGTCACAATATTTTACTTGCCTAATTAGATGTGGTAGGGTGTGCCATTTTGAGGGGCTTTCATGAGAACCCTCCGCACTCTACGTTGGCCTTCTCACCCCCCTTCATCCTTGTGCTGGGAGTGTTGATCAGAGTCTGCCATATTGTTACGCAGTTCTCCTTTCCTAGGTCTTGCCACAGTTTCTCTCTTGCCCCGTAAGATTTGTCTGCCCTCCCCATGGTTCACATATTTCACTCAACCCCTGACATCCAATCTGTGCCACTCGAGGCGTTATTTGCCCTCCCCTGCGTCTGGGTGACTAATTCGAGGCTAAAGCCTCTGAGTAAGTCTTACGATCAGACCACATGGACTACTTCTCTTATAAAACCTACTGTCAGCCCAATAGCTCCCATCGCCCCTGCCTCTATTCTGTTTCTATTTCTAATATCAAGTATATAACTTCTCATGCCCTAGTCTCTTGAGTGCCAACCCACAAATGTTGTGGTACTGCTTGCTTAGATTAGGTTCGACGTTGAACCACAACGTTTGTAGGTTGGAACCTGAGAGACTAGGGCATGGGAATTCAAAGACTTGGTATTAGAGATAGAGACAGAAAAGACGAGGCGGCGATTGGAGCTAGTTGGCTGAAGTAGGTCTGTTTTAACCATAGACGTGGTCCATGTAGAAAAGGCGTTACAATGACGATTACTTTGAGCCTTTAGCTTCGAATTAATCACCCAGACGCAGGAAAAGGGCGAGTAACGGTTCGAGCAGCACAGATGGGGTGGCAGGGGTCGAGTGAAATATGTGAATCAGGGAAAGAGTTGATGGATCTTACGGGGCAAAAGAGAAACTGTGGTAAGACCTAGGGAAGGAGGAGAGCGTAACAATATAGCAGACTCTGATCAACATTCATTGCACAAGAGTGAAGGAAGTGATAACGACAGTGTGGAGTGTGAAAGGGTTTTCATGAATGCCGCTCGTAGAAGCACACCACACTACATTGAAAAAAGCACGGTAAAAATTGTGACAGGGAAGGCGTGATAGGAGGAGATTGGAAATGGGAGATACCATTACTGTTTAGCACACGTTTGGTCAAAGGATCGGCTTCAATTGTCTCCTTGACGAGTTTTTGAATAGTGCTAAGAATGGCGAGATTCACTGATGATGCCGACTACGATGCCTGCGAAACGTTTGGGAATGTACCACGTCCACGGTCCTACTCTGGAAATGATGATGCATGCAATGGACTCCGGACTAGGTGAGTTCTTCTAAGTCTTCCTACCAATATGACCGAGTTGCGAAAACAAGGTCAAACAACATCTATAAAATTCTATTGTTGTTGAGTTAAAGAACAAGGAAGCTATCTTATTATATTCGCAAATCAGATTAAGCTAGCTGCAAGCTTAAATCAAAATGTGAAATGCAACTAATTTACATACATCACAGTATCGATGTTGCAAAGTTATATTTGCTACAAGGATCGACTACATAATTTTTTTTATAAGCAGCTTATAATTCAGATTTAAGTATAATACAGTAAAGTATTCATTTATTTATACAGGGCATAGATAAAGGTAATTGTGTTAATGCATCAATTATAAACTTACTCATATCACACTATTACATAGTTAAGTATATATTAACAATTTTAATCCCGATATATACACATACAATATTCTAAAGCATTTAATTAATTTGATCTTGAAAGTTTTTTGGTATAGTTAATACTTATATACTATAAAAAATTATAAATGCTTACAAACAGTTAATATAGGAACTTTCTTTAAACCTTGTTATGCTAGGCTCATTTCCTCCTGCACCTTTGCAGCGCAGGCTGGCCCCTCCCTACGTTCTACATGCCAAAGTGACTCTTTAATTTATTTATCAAAATAGGTATTATTGCGATTATTGCGAGGCATTTCTTACCCATGATTCGCCTTCTGTTAGAAAAACACATTGTAGTGGCAGGAACCATAAGGAGAATGTGAGACAATACTACCAAACTTGGCTTGAGGAACAAGTTCAAAAGCTTGTGGATACCACTTGTAGGAATTAATTTTACATGCTCATTATTTTTTAGCGGAAGCTTATAAAAGTGGCAAGGTTCCACCTCCAATGTTCGGGGCCCCCCTAGCAGTACCTCCACCTGGGTTTCCTCCTGCCTTCCCTCCTCCGCTTGCAGGAGCTCCCCCTGGGTTCGGAGCTAGGCCCCCGCATTTAATCCAACATCCTGGCCATGCTGCGGTAGCTGTGATGGCTGTAAGACCGGGTATGCCCCCCCACATGGGTCCGCCAGCGCCTGTTGCGGCCGCTCCGCTAGGTCCTCTTGCCTGGACCAAGCCATACGGAACATAGATAACGTGTATGTCTATGCATATCACTTTTTGCAATAAAAACATTTTCCGATTTTCTACTCGCATTTGTATCCCTCTCATTTTGTCCTCTATCGCGTTTTGCAATCTATTTCGCCTTAATAACCTCAAAGAATATCCTGTCTTTTCACTCGATCTTACACCTTACTTCACGAAGATCCTCTGCTCCAATTTATTTATTTACGGCCAATGTTTCAAACATAAGTTGACGTGGAGTGGGATTATTCAGTGGAATCGTGCTCTGCGCATCGGCGATGTTACTGTACTTAAGTAACGAAATACCGATTTAGATGTGATTTAGGCCATTTTATGCCTACTATCCACACCAAAATGCGGCGTCCGAGGCTGATTGTCGTATCCATTGCTTAAAAACACCGGTACTGGCGCTTGCTCATAATATTACATCTAGACCCTCCATCGCTGAAGTTGGTCTACCCGCTTTTCCGTGTTTACCAAGTTAAATGCATTGCCCACTTAGGATTTCATCATCAGTTCCCAGGCATGGAATATGCAACACAATGCAGGATCCTTTTCTGTCCTTTCTGCTGGATGGCCAGCTAGCCGTACGCGGCCACCAATAGGCCATGATAAATTTGTCTCTCAGTCACGTCTGTTTAATCTTCCTTAGTCTAAAAAGCCTGTATTTAGCTATTGGTCAGCTCGCCCTCGGTATCTGCACTAGATTGCCGAGCAATTGCTGACCACTCTGGCGTGCGTCCCTGAGGGCCTAGCTACAAACTTATGTGATCGTACTGCTAGACGAGCTCCGAACATTGGTGGTAACTTGCCAAAGCTTCTGCTTAAAAATAATGAGCATGTAAAATTGATTCCTATAAGCGGTATCCACGATTAAGACCTCAGAAGAGCGAACGCGCTATCGACTTCGCTAGTACTGACATAGGAGCTGTGTTCACCCTAG